ACCTCACCCCCTTGGCATCCATAGACCCAAAGAGTCTGGGATGTTCTGGTGGAAGTTCCACCTCAAACTCCCTCCCCTATCTCTCTCCAAACCCTGCTGCATCTCAAAAAGCCCGCCAAAGGATGACCCCTCCCGCAGAGATGCCCAAGACCACTCCCACAAGGAGTGTCACCCAGAAAGCAGATGCATGGCTTTCCAGCCCCTCTCCCCTGTCTCCTCTCTGGGGGCCTGGAAAATCATCTGGGAGCATATTATCCATTAAACCTGGGCTTTTTCTAATTCAGTTTGATTTGGTCTAGTTTGGATTGCTGGGTCAACAGAGAGGCTTATCGGGGTGCAGAAACTTTTCAGTTAGCACAACTCTGAATGGCATACTTGCATGCAGTCGCCCTGGGCTACTTTCAGGTCATTGTACCACCATACCTAAGGTGGCAATCCAACCCAGCTGCTGGAGCTACAGCCATCATATCTAAGTTCTGAGCAAAAGAAGGAGAAAAGAGGTGAGGAAAAAGGCATCCCTTTATTCATGCAAGCATTCATTCATTCACTCATTCATTCATCTACAGTAACAGGAATTGAACCCAGGGTCTCATGGTCACTAGTCAAGCATTCTGCCACTGAGCTATATCCTTGACCTCATGGACATTATCTTTATTTTATTTTTAAAAAGAAGTATTTATTTATCTTGTGTGCAGGGAAGGGGGGTGTAGAGATGAAAAAACAATATATAGCAGTGCCCTTGCAAAGTGTGACTCCCGGGGATTAAAATCAGGTCCTCAGGATTGGACCTTTACCCACTTACCCACAGCGTCAGCCCTGGGTCTTTGCTTTAAAATGGTATTTCTTTGTTATACTTGAGCCTACTTCTGTTGTGTAATTTGTCAAGTGATCACCCTAACTACTAGAATCATTTAGATGTACAGCCTTTTAGTTGTATGTCATTGTGTCCAGCTAAAACTGTGGGTTGTTTTCTAAAGAAGAAGGGACTCTCGGTATTAGGAAACTAATGATCACCGACTGTGTGGTAGACGGGCTGCAGAAAAGCCAGACTGAGGCCACAGACAGCTGGTGAGGACCCAGGAAATGAATGGGAGTAGCTGTCTGTGACCTCAGTCTGGCTTCTCTGCCAGGTGAGCAGCATGAGAGGTAATATCAAAGCTAGGGGAGGGGAAAAGGGACCACTGGCAGACAGGGACTAGCATGGGCTCTTCTCTCTCAGCTTGCTTGGGGAAGAGGGAGAGGTCTGGAACCCTGAGCCATGTGCTGAGAACCCAAGACCACCTCTAGCACAGCAGCTCTACAAGTAAGCCTCCTAGGACAGAAACCATAAAATTCCATGTCTCACACTGAGGACAAGGTGACCTCATGGGGGCCCACAGCTTATCTATACACAGCCACTATGTGTCCTTCACATCCTCTGTCATCTGGACAATCAGATTGGAGCTGGACAATCAGATTGGAGCACTATTCTGACCCACCAGAAGTTTTGCCTGGCCTTCCCACAAGTTGGAAGGCAGACCCAGGGAACTCAGATGCCCCAAGGGCAGCCAGGCTAGGTAGAGCAAGCAAGCAGAAGCATGGTCCTGACTCACAGGGTCCACAGCTGTTTTTAGCTGCAGGTGGAGGCTGCCTTCCCCCATTCTCCACCTACCCCTCCTTGAGTCATTCTGGCTGCCTGGGGCACCAAAAGTCCAGACTCACCCCACTTTCCAGGTGGACCCTGGAAAACCAGGCTGCCTTAGTGGGCAGCCCTCTCTGTCAGGTGAGGGGCCTTAGAAACCCAAGGGCCTAGGTGTTTGGAACATTGTCCTCAAGGAGTAGTGTCTGGATTAGCATAGTGGGCATGGCCTTCCAGTTTCCTGCCAGGACAGGAGTCAACTTCCTTACTGAGGTAGGCAGTGGGGAGAGCAGGCCCTCACAAGTAAACAGCTACCTAGTCAGACAGCAGGGCCTGGAGAAACCTCCAGGTAGCAGAAGTCTCACTTACCCTTTGTGCAGAACCTCTGTTTGCCATAACCCCTCCAGGTGTTGACCTATTTCCTTGTCTGTCCCACCCTAGGATGCCTAGGGCTAGCACCTCCCACTTACTTCCTGAAGTAGCCAACAGGACAGAGTCTCTCTCCATGGACTTTGGTAGGCTAGTGTTGAAAGGGCTCAGAGCAGAGCTCTGCAGGCTGAAGTAAAAGAAGGCAAGGTCTGGACAGTCTACACAGCCTAGATGAACCCATTAGCTCCCATCCCAACCCTCTAGAGACATGTATCATTAGTCCAGGATTTTTCAAATGGAATAAGCTTATAAGGGTGTATCCCCTAAGACCTGTCTCCCCCAGCCTGTGGTGAAGCCTCTAAGAATACAACCTTGAGAAAGAAGCTAGGGAGTGATGGCCCTGGATCCCTTAACCTCTGTAGTCCTGACTAATACCCATAAGTACTATGTTGCCAAGTGCCCCAACAACACATGGAACAGTGCTCCCCTAAACTCAGATACTTGGCTCAGGGACCCAGTTTGAGCTCAACTCTGTGCATGTATCCCAAGTCCTCTGCTGGGACGATTGGGAGCCCAGGCACATTCATGGTGATGACAGAGGCCCACAGCAGCCAACCGAAGCAGGCAAGGCCACTCTGTGAATCCATACACTGCCACCCCCATGTCATTCTGTGAGCCAAAGGAAATTCCTGTTATCTGAATTTCACTCTGTTGAAAGAACTCAAATGAGGTACCCAGAGCATAGTAGGCAAGACAGAAGGGGGTGGGGGGGCTGGTAAGATGGCTCAGCAGTTAGGAGCACTGGCTGTTCTTCCAGGGGATCCAATGTCCCTCTTCTGGCCTCCATAGGCACCAGGCATGCCCATGGTTCAGATGTACATGCAGGCAAAACACCTTTACACATAAAGTGTAGAAGTGAATCAGGCCATTGGGGTTCATTCTAGAGTAAAATGAAACACTCTCATTATGAGTGGGCAGTGACCATAGGGCCTGTTGTACCAACCCACATTCTAGATAAGCTTCATACTATTCCTGATGTCTCTAAACTGACTGCCTCCCCTGAAGGGCATTGTCCTGCCTTCCCAGATGATGAGCAGGCCCATTTGAGTAACTCCAAAGGGAGGAAACAGTGGCCTTTGTTCTTCACCAAAAAGCCTTCCTGATAGGAATCTTATAAATCTTACAAGGTTAGATTCCCCTCTACTGGGTCCCATACATGTCTGTCTCTCTCTCTCCCTCTTTTCCAACCCCCCCCCCACCTGCCTGTCTCACATGCGCTGGGCTAACAGATAGGCAGGTTGCTATTAATGACTGTTAGACAGTTGAGAAGGCTGCATCTCTTCCACCTGGGGCCAGTGAATCAACTTAGATCCCATTGTCCTGCCAATGCTCAAGAGCCCCAGTGACACCCTGGTTTGCCTGCTTCTGGTAAAGAAAGGCCACCCCCAGAGACTCTTCAAGCCTGCTAATTCCTAACTAGCTAACTAACATTGTAGCCACAGGTTCGGGAGACAGGAACTGTATTCTGCCCTAGGGGAGGGGGGCAAGGGGAATGGATAGCACCCAGGAAAGCTGAAGACAGAAAGCAAAGAAGCAGAGGCCACTCCCTCACAGGTGATTGTCAAGGTCTACACAGGCAGTGTGTGCACAACAGCCCTACATAAGCTGTAAAGTGCTGCTGGGACGTGCATGGTGGCTGCAACGGTACAGCCCTGTGACTTCCCCAGGAGCCTTTGAGACCACATTGTCCCTGCTCTTGTTCTGTGTTCTCAGTTCCAAAGCTGAGTGAGTGCTGCTTGTTACCCTGGGTGAGGAGTGGGCTGGAAGAACCTGTGAATTACCCAGCACTTTTCCTACAGCTCTCAAGAGTCTGTCTCTTCATTCACCTCATGGGCCCTATGCGCATTCAGCTATGTGGGGGTGGGGGGCTTCCGCACCATCGTCTCCTTTCCCTCTCCTGGATTACTTAGCAGCCCTGATAGCCACAGGTCACAGACAATTAAGTACAAATGAAGAAAATCAAATTTTAAGCTGGGCATGGTGGCACACTCATGTAATATCAGCTCTGAGCTGAGGTAGGAGGGAGATTTGAGGGAGAAAAACCAGTTCCACCATATTGGGTCAAATTTAAGATGAGTTTTTATTAAAGTTTAAATACTAACCAAGATGGACTTTGGTCAGGACTACTCCCTGGAATGTCCATCTGAGTGGCCCTAAAGTACCTGTACTGGGGCTTATAAAGACAAAACCCATAAGCCACCATACTTTCCCATGAGACCTGTTATTTTTCAAGAACTACAATTCCCAAAATCCCAAGAACTTACCTACTCCTTGGGCAGGTGAGGATTACAGGTTAATTTAGGGTGTAACATAGGAAAATCATGAGATCAAGGCCAGCTTGAGCTACACAGCAAAGCCCAAATAAAACGTTTAACTTAAGGTCCTGAGTTCTTGTGCTTCAGTCAGTATTGACATGAGTTTTAAGCATCTATATTAACTTCACTTACCTATACAGTAGAGTTCCACCTGCATCCAGTCCCTCAGCCAGCCAGTGTTCTCAAATAACCAGACCCGCTTCCAGACAGAGACTCATTCCAGGGGCTTGCTCCCTCAGGTAAGAAGATAGAAAATTACAACTCTAGTCCAAGAACAAGGCTATAAAAATGAGTGCCCCCCCCCATACACACACACACACACACACACACACACACACACACACACACAATTCCTGCATAAAAGCCCCATTCTCAGACAGCTGGAAGTAGAGCTGCTCTGGGGGAGTGGAAGGGCAGAGAGCTAAGCCTGACCATGGAGTATGTTGCTCTAGAACTTTCCTGAGGCAAAATAGCTTCAAAGGAAAGTGAGGCCCAAGGCCTTAGGCTCCAAGAACCACCCACATCTTCTGAGCAGGCAGAAACTGAGTGTTATCTTGGCATGGACCTCCTATCCTGGTAGAGACTACATGAGAAGTCCAACCAAGGTCTCAGAGCAGTTTGTCCCTCTGTCCTTGCAGGCGGACTCCAAGATGGTGTGCGATGTGGTAAGCCGTATGGAAGACACTGAACCCTTCTCTGCAGAACTGCTTTCTGCCATGATGCGACTCTGGGGCGACTCAGGGATCCAAGAGTGCTTCAACCGATCTCGGGAGTATCAGCTCAACGATTCTGCCAAATAGTAAGTACTCAGGCAGCCTGGGGGCTGGAGCATGGGGCAGGCACAGGGATGGGAGGCTGGGAGCTGGTGAGATGAGATACAAACTCAGGTAGTAGCATCAGGGAGGGACAAGGAGGGCTTTACTTCTTGTGCCCAGGATGGGAAGAAGCAAGTGTCTGCAGGGCAGGACCTGGTCCGTATCTCCAGGACCACATCTGTACCCGCAGGGAAGGTTCCAGGCTAGCAGGTAGGGTTTGTGTCTTCTAGAAAGCCTCAGACCACAAGTATGAATCAAGAACCATACAGGAGTCAGGTATGATGGAACACACCTTTAATCCCTGAATTAGTCCCTCAGAAGCAGGTAGGTTTTTGTGAACCAAAGGCCAATCTGGTCTACATAGAGAATTCCAAGCCAGCCAGGGCTACATAGACAAATCCTATCTCAAAAACACATTCACAAAAAATGAAAACAAGTAACAACAACAACAAAAATATGCAGGCAGAAAACAACTCAGACGCCACCATCTTACGCTGTTTTTAAGAAAACAATAGGCATAGGGCTGAGGTTTAACTTGAGTACCTGCTTAGCACATGCTAGGCCCTGAACAATATTTACCACCACCAAAACAGACTTCTGAAATATGTGTGAAAATGTCACAATGAAATCCATTACCTTTTGTGTTTTTGAAAACTGTTTTTGTTTTGTTTTGTGGGACAGGGTCATATGTAACACAAACTCACTCTGTAGGTTTTGATGACCTTGAACTTACAGTGGTTCCAACTCTGCCTCCCAAGTGCTAAGTTTTCCTCTGGCTTTAAAGTTAAAGTACAGGAAATAAGTAGTTCTCGGTGGAGAAATAGAAGAAATAAGCAAGCACAGCTTTCAGTATCATGCTGTAACTAGATACGGAGGAAGAAAAGAGGGAGTGTGGGCCAGAGAAATGGAGAGAAGTGAGAAACAGTGAAAACCACAGCCAAGGAAGTGTCTGGGACCCTTCCTGTGACACCAAGGTGACAGACCTGCTGGACTTTGCCACTCTCCCTCTCTCTCTCAGAGGGGTGGCTCCAGAGTCCTGGAGTGGATGGCAGCTCTGGGGGTGTATCTTGGCGTTGAAGAATGCCCCTAGTTTTTGTAATCTGGTACCCAGGCTTTCAAGAAGAGCTTGCAGTGGGTGCTGCAGGATTTTACCCACTGTCCAAGGATATGTAATCCTAGGGCACAGGAGATGGAGGCAGCAGTGTGGCAAGTTTGAAGCCAGCCTGGGATATATAGTGAGCTCCTGACTCAAAGTAAGGATTTAAAAATTGCAATCTCCACTATGCTAGTATAGCCAGCTGGACCCAACAGAACAGCACTCACTAGTGACATGTGGGTGTCTCATTGACTGTGATGTCCTCTAACAAACTAGGAACCCGAGTAAGGCCAAGGACCTCTTCCCATGTCTCACACCCGGGTGGGATTGTGCATAGGCAGATGCCTAAGGTAGGTTGTGGTGGCCCCAAGCAGGTCGTGGTCACCCAGGCCACCGAGATCTATGAGCTCTCAGGGACACCTTGATGAGCAGAGTTCCAAACTCCCTATGCACACTCAGCTCCCAGGCCTGAGAGCAAACAGAGCAACTGTCAGTCAGCTCCCCACTAAGTGGCCATGAAAGCTAGAGCTACACTTCCTCCCTGCCCCCTGCTGGTCTCAGTCTAAGGCTGTCCTCTTCCCAGAAGGACTTTCAGGGACCCCAGAGAGCCTGCTGGCTTCAGTCTGTCTTCTGGATGTCCATCAAATATTCCTCTCAAGTTTTATCCATTTTATGAAAACGAATCCCTTACAAAAGCATCTCAACAGCAGACCAGGATATAAACCGAACAGCAGTGCTGTTGCCGCCCCACCCCTCACCCCCACCCCCCACCCCACCCCCCACCGCCTGACTCCTCCCTTCCACTGTTCCCATTTACTCAGTATTTCCTGACCCTTACCTTGAAATATGGGATACAGTTCACCTTCCTTCTCCCCATGCTGTCTCGCCACCCCCAGTTTTCTGCTGGTTTCAAGGTTGTCTTTCATTCTCCCCACAGTCACCATTATAATTTGAGTCAGTATTTGCAATCCCTGTCCCTCCACTCCCTCAGAATCTCACTCTCTGGTAGCTCTCCTCTACCACCTTCTAGTGTTGCCAGATGGAATGGCATTCTAGTCATGTCTCCGTGCTGCTTCTCTAAGAGAAAGGCAACAAGAGATGGAGAGGATTACAGGTAGAAGGAGCAGGAGTGTCGTTTTGCCTGTCTCATCTTGAGATGGGGTCTCACTGTGTATCCCACTCACATTTACCTGGAACTTGTTTAATAGCTCAGACTGGCTTCAAACCTCCCCATCCTTCCCACCCCACCCTCTCGAGTGCTCTGATTACAGGTACACGCCACGATGCCTTGCTTTCCTAAGTGCTATTTCTGGTTCAGAGTTATGCTCTTTTAGGAGTTAAACTGGCCCTGATAGATCTGGGAAATTGCACTGCTTTAGAAGGAACCATTAACACCCAAAAATCCCAATTAATAACCATACCACCCCACCCCAACCCTGCCCCTTGTGGATCCTGAGCTTAGAGAGAAAAGGACCTGGTCTTTTGCTAGACTTCTGCCCTGGTCTTCCCTGCCTTGGTGGGCCATAACACTTCCTCATCTCAGGTGAGGCCTTTCCACTTCAATCATCAATCAAGAAAATTCCATACAGATTTGCCTACAGGCCAATCTTATTACAAAGCCATTTTCTTGACTAAGATTCCCTCTTCCCAAATATGTCTAGGTTTGTGTCAAGTTGGAAAAAAAAAAAAAAAGGATTTGGTGAGACTCAGCCAACATAAAGTGAGACTAGGGGCCAGCTTGTATGTTCAGAGCATTGCCCAGCTGAGGTAGGAATAGCAAGACAAAGGGTTCCCCAGGCCTGGTGTCCAGCAGTGTCAAGGATATTAGCCAGAAGAAGGGGCCATTAGTAGCTGTGAACGAGGAGAGTTGGGCACAGAGGACTGAAAACAGAGCCTTCTCAGGTACATAAAGGCCTCCTAGGATACCCGTGGGATGGGTCCAATATCCCTGAGCTACTCTACTCCCTCAGCTACTTCCTCAGTTTGCCTTCCATTGAGAGCACCTGGGGAACTGACTCCAAAGATCTAGGTTCCAGAGAGGCCCTACCATTGCTCGGCTGAGATGGAACCCCTGGTCCCCACTTATAAGAGCATCAAATGAAAAAAGACATGCAGACCTCTTGGTAAACAAGAGGACATATAGAATGACAGACGATGCTCAGAGCCTCTCACACCAAGAATGAAGACTCTGGACTTACCTGTATTGAGCCTCGGTTTTTAAATGTTTAAAACAGTAGATTTGGCACAGGGAAATTAAAGACCGAACATGAATATATGTAAAGAACAGAACCTGGAGGGGCTAGAGAGGTGGCTCAGCAGTTAAGAGCACTGGCTGTTTTTCCAGAGGTCCTGAGTTCAACTCACAACCATCTGTAATGAGATCTGGTGTCCTCTTCTGGCCTGCAGGCATGCAGGCAGATAGAACACTATACATAATAAGTAAATATTTTATTTTTTAATTAATTTTATTTAAATTAAAAACAATCCTATTTTACATACCAGTCCCAGTTCCCTCTCCCTCCCATCCTCCCATTCCCCCCACCATCTCCCCATCCCACCCCCCCATCCACTCCTCAGAGAAGGTGAGTCCTCCCATGGGATATCAAAGTCTGTCACATCATTTGAGGTAGGACCTAGGCCCTTCTCCCTGTATCTAGGCTTAGAGAGTAACCCTCCATAGGGAATGAGCACCAAAAACCCATTTATGCACTAGGGATAAATTCTGGTTCCACTGCCAGCAGCCTGGTAGACTGCCCAAGCCCCACCCCCAGCTGATACACACATTCAGGAGGCCTAGTTCAATCATATGCAGGTTTCCCAAGCTGTCAGTCTGGAATCTGTGAGCTCCCACTTGCTCAGGTCAGCTGTTCCTGTGGGTTTCCCTAGGACATAAATAAATCAGAAGAAAGGAAGGAAGGAAAGAAGGAAGGGAGGGAGGGAGGAAGGAGAGAAAGAGAGAGAGAAACAGAACCAAACTGAACCAAGCCTTGGACTGGAGAGGTGGCTCAGCAGTTAAGAGTACTGGCTCTTCTTCCAGAGGACATGAGTTCAATTCCTAGTACCTATATGGCAGCTCACACCTGTCTGTAACTCCAGTTCCAGGGGATCTGAAACCATCTTCTGACCTCTGTGGTGAACATGCATAGCATATGATTCACAAACACACATACAGACAAAACACCCACGCACATAATTTAAAAGTAAATAAACATGTTTTTAAAAAGAATAGATGCTACCTACTGGCCATTATTATTTTTAGATGAAGACATAACAGAACTGTTCTGTGAACCTGGCAGTCTCATTTGCAAGTCTCATCCCAGTGTAACTGAGTCTGTATTGGAGGACCTTAGAGACTGCAAGTCTAAGACCCTCAAGTTCTCTCTTGATTGTCCCCACATTCACTAATGGTCCCACAGTCAGCCTTGCAAAAGCTATGGCTGATACTGGACTCCAAACATAGTGAGAAAGGCCCAGACCCATGAACTCTTGTATGATGTCATCCCCAGCTACCTGGACAGCCTGGATCGGATTGGAGCCGCTGACTACCAGCCCACTGAGCAGGATATCCTCCGAACCAGGGTCAAAACCACCGGCATCGTAGAAACCCACTTCACATTCAAGAACCTCCACTTCAGGTGAGGCCTGAGGAGATGGGGCCTGCTGACAGGCCCTAACAATGGGCCTGGTGATGCGCCAGAGATGGGGGAATGTCCATGTCCTGGCTCACCTCATCTAGATAGCCAGATAGTGTCTTGCCTCAAAGATCTTTCTTGTTTGGTCAAGACAGCTAGATACCAGAAGAAGTCCATCTGAGAACTTGTTTTCTGCCAAGCTTAAAGGCTAAAAATAGCAGGTGGCTTAGTTCAGAGGCCCCTGGAAGGGGACAGGATAGGTAAGCCTGAACCAATTAGTAGGCCCACACAATGCCAGGAAGACCCCAAACATCACTACAACCTCGAAGCTAGAGAGGATAGGAGAACCTACAGGACCTTTAAAAGTGGCATTTTCTGATTTGCAGAACATACACAGGACCCCGGAGCTCTGGGGACCTAAGAATAGGAGCCTGAACTGTGCTGCCTGGTTTGTGGAGCCCTACTGGACGATTTTGTCTCCCAAGAGTAACCTTCATAGGCTAAAGCCTGGCGACCCCAGGTGTAGTTTCTTGATAGCAGGTGAAACTAGACAAGAGGAGAGGCAGGACTTTGAGTCACTCTACTTGTACCGAGTCAGTCCTGGGACAGGTTTCAGGGGTGATGAGAGCTGCCTTCAGGCTCAGGGGTGGCAGTGGTTTGTGTATCAGTCTGTTGTTACTCAGAGTGAGGAAGGGTGCTCCCACTGCTCAGCACCTTCGCTGCTAGACCACAGGTATCTCTACGCTCACAGCTAGCTTTCCCTGACTTCCTGCAGGCTGTTTGACGTTGGGGGCCAACGATCTGAACGCAAGAAGTGGATCCACTGCTTTGAGGATGTCACGGCCATCATCTTCTGTGTCGCACTCAGCGGCTATGACCAGGTGCTCCACGAGGACGAAACCACGGTGAGTGACTTGAAGTGAAAGCTGGCCACAGAACAAGCCAACGTTCAGAGTCCTCAGGCCTACAGATGGCCTCTGCCAGGCACCCTCGCCCATTCTGTGCCATCAAGGCAAATGCCAGTGAGGCCAGTACAACAGGAGCAGCTGGGGGCTCCTGGTGCAGTTTGTATCACACTTGCTACAAATAACGTAACAGAGTTGGGGTCTTGGCCAGTAAGCACCTTATCAGTAAAGAGGAGAGTCACAGGGAAAAAAATTAAGCAAATCCTACAAAGCCAGGTGGCAGCCAAGCAAAGCTGCTTCTACCCTTCCTGCGTTACTGGCTAGCTGGAGAGGTGTGGGGCTACCTGGCCAAGAGAAGCACCAAGAAACAGGCATACTGGTGTGTGTCGGGCATGGCTTTGAGCCCTCCATCAAACTCAGTTTCTGAGACTTGCCACCTGGCCTGAGAGGGCCCTTGCCAGCCTTCCCCTTGACCTCATCCGGGCTCTGCTGCTCATTGATATGAGATAAATTCAGGCAGCACCCTTTCTTCCTAGGTTCCAGCCATCTGAAAAGCAGGGGCAATAGTACCACCCACCTTGTCTAAGGCTGCTGGTCATGGAAATGGTTTTGCATTAACATTGCCCAGCCAACTGGTATATTATTGCTGGTGATTGCCCTAAGCTAGGTACATTCACTGAGCTTTGCCCATTTGGAGTTTCAGCTCACAAGTCTGTGGTCCTGTTCACAAAGCCTGGAAAGGGATCCAGGCCTCAAATATGTTCTACTGTTCTGAGAGCAGGGTTCATGGCTGTGGACTCACACGTTGGCATCTGGAATACAATCTTATCGGGAATACGGTCAGAATGCCTCACCCTGAGCCTTTGGGATCTGCACCAAGGGCCAGAGGAGGGGCTTGTGGTCATGCTGGCCAGTTTGTTTACTAGTCCAAGCCCAGTCATTACTGGTGTCTTTGGAGGGAGGGTACAGTGCTGGGAGAGGAGGACCCGCCGTCCTGAGTAGTTCACACTGAGTGATGGGGCTTTTGGCAGATGGAAGCCAAGCTGCTGGAAGGTGGGGTGGTCCAGACTTGGCATCATGTGATGGCTGGATTTCAGTGCTGTCACTCTCAGTGGCTGTGGCAGACAATGGTCTAGTCTCAAGCCTCAGTGTGGGGTGGGGAAAACGTGTCGTGGACTGCTGTTCAACCCCAGACTCTGACCACCAAAAGTGCCGAATATTCTCCTGTTAGTGTACCCATCAGAATGACTGGCCCAATACACTCTTTGCAACTATGGGTTGCCTCTGTGCTATAAGAGCCATCGTGCCTGCTCCCTTTGGCCTTTTTTTTTTTTTTTTTTTTTTTTTTCCTGGGAGTAGATGGGTTTGAAAAAGAAAAAAAGTCAAGGAGTGGATAGTGGATAGAGGGAGATCCTTCACACTAGAACATGGCCTCTCTGAACCTGCCCTGCCAGAGTGAAGGCCCAGGACCTTCAGCTATGGGGACAGGCCCTCAGTAATCCCCAGAGCGCAGATTAGACACAAGGAATGTCCAGTGGGTACCAAGCTCCGTAGCCTCAGATCTCCAAGTCAGGGATGGCTGACCCTCCCTACGTCCCTCCTCACTAGCATTGCTGCTATGCACCCAGGCTCTGAAGCACTCTCCCTTTAGTGTCCTTCCTGACCTACTGCTCTCTGAGCCCTTCCCCTGCCTCCAGCTCACTCCCCTTTCCCTTTCATCCCTCCACAAGGGCTGGAGGCAAGAGCTTTGAGGAAGGAAAAACCCATGGGTCAAAATCAGAAACAAGCTCTTCCTAGGGTTCTCCCTCCCCAAGGCTGGCCGCCCAACAGCCAGGGGAAAGCACCAAGCCTCCAGAGGATAGGGGTTGCCTTCCAACTTGCCAGCAGCCCACAGCAGTGGCTCCTAGCTATAGTGAAAGAATACAGTGGAACTAGCAATCGTCGGTGTGTGGGGGACATGTGTGTGAATTGAACAGCTTGGGAGTCGGATGGAATCCAAGGCTGGCATCACTTCTACCAGTTTTGTGATCATGCATAATCGCCACACCTTCCTCAGGCATGTGCTGTAGGGTGATGATGGTAAAGCAGCCTCAAGGGCTAAGAGCTGAAATAGTGTCTGCACAGATACCACTCAGTAAGGGGCAGCTCTACTCCTCTGTCTAGATGATGTAGCCAGGGGACAGGTGGTAGAGTATGGATGCTCTTCCCTAGAGAGGCGAGATGTAGGCACCAATGGCCCAGTCCTTGGTCCTCAGTCTTCCCCTCTAGCCAATTCTGCACTTCCCTCCCTGGCCTGGGGAGGAAAATGGGGGCCACAGAGACAAAGATGTGTGGAGGCAGCTCCTGGAGCTAGGCCAGGAGCTAGTGGCTGCCCAACACCGGACCAGCCACCCCGCCCGCTGCACCCTGGGACCCCACGGGCTCATCTTGTCCTCGTACCTGCTCTCAGCGCCACTCAGCCAGGCCACAGGCTGCCACAACTTCACCACCACTGCCACCAGCGCCTGCAGGGCCTTTTCTTACCAAAGCAAGGCCAAAACCATGGGCAGATTCTGAGAGACCCTCCAAGCCTGGCAGGTATGAAGCCACCTCCCTCTGATCAAACATGAGCTAAGAGTTGAAAGCAGCAGGTTCTCAGGGCCCCGCTGGGTGACTTTGCTGTGAATGCCGGCCCCAGGCCTATGCTCGCTCCATGCCGGCTTCTGAGCTGAGGCTGCCCTCCCTACACAGCCTTCCACCCCAGCTGCATAGCGCCCATCACGAGGCAGCTGAGGCCTGTGTAGATGCCTCTCACAGCTAGCTGCCATGGATGTCCTGGGTCTAAGACTGATTGGATCAATTTTTCAGGGTTTTACTTTTTCCTTCTCTGATGTTTGCTGCTGGGTTTTTAGCTTCCTCTCAGTTTTAATCTGGTTTGCTGAGTTTCTTCTTGGGGTTCTCCTGACCCCTCTTCTAAGAAACCAGCCCCATCTCCCAGCTTTCCCAGAGAGAGCTTCCCTCAGCCCAGGCATAGCCCAGTCAACCAACAAAGTCACCCAACCAACCAAGGCCACAGCAACATCACCCCCGAGACGCTGTCCCCTGGTATCTGCTTCCAACTCGGGATTAATTCGAGGATCTCAGTCCTCGGTTAATGTTATCCAACTGAATGAATGCGTGCACCCTCCTGACCTCGCTGGCGAAAATGAATGAGAGCCTGGTAGAGAAGTCTGCATGATCCACGGTTTCGTGTAGACATGTTGGATGGTGGTTGCATCCCTGCCCTCCACGTGCATGGTGCATGTCCTCTCCAGGGACTGCAGCCTCTGCAGTGATCTCAGTGCCCAGCCCAGGCCAGCTCTCTCTGGAAGGGACAGCACTCCTGACCTACCCCAGCTCCACCCAAACCTGCCTGTCTGTGGAATGAAGCAGGGACATGTCCTGTTTGTCCACGTGGGCCCTTTGTCTCTGTCCCCATAATGCATTAAGAGCATTGGTGGCCCATCCCTCTGCTTGTCTCGCTATGTCATAGCCACAATAGGTCAGGGTGCTGGGTACCTCTAGCCCTCACCTGCCTCTCCACTCTGTTGCAGAACCGAATGCATGAGTCCCTGAAGCTTTTTGACAGCATCTGCAACAACAAGTGGTTCACAGACACATCTATCATCCTGTTTCTCAACAAGAAGGACATATTTGAGGAGAAGATCACCAAGTCCCCATTGACCATCTGCTTTCCTGAATACACAGGTAGAACCCTCCTCATCTCACACAGCCCCTTGCAGCTACAGGCCAGCCAACGAACCAGGTCTCTGGTCCTTTACCATGCTTGGGTGTATCCAGCTCATCCTGCAGACTCCACCCCCAAAGAACTGTACTAGAGCCAACTATGGCAAGAAGCCCTGGGCAGCTAGGGCCTGGACTAGAGTCTCCAGTATGATATTAGCAACCCTAGGGAGTTCCAGTCGGTCCTCTGTAAGCAGAGGGTGCATGCAGAGTAGAAATCCACAGTGTCAAACAGACAATAAACCTGATCTTCGAGTAAGGTAGCCCAGCAGGGTCCAGCCTCAATTTAGCCCTGGAGAGTGGCCTATGCAGGTCACATAGCCTCTCCAGCTTGGCTTCTCCATCCGTGAGATGGAGGCCGTCACAGTGGCTATCTCCCCCACCCCCAGTAGATTCACTGTAACGATGAAGCTGCACATGACTATGCAAAGTGTGGTGCTTGCTACAAGTCTGTGATCACTACAACTCTGTTGTCACTGCTGTGATCACGATGAGCAACAGCCATTGTAACGGCACCTCCCACACAGGCGGCCACAAGATTGTCATAGTGCATTGACTGGGACAGAACCTGCAAGCAGCAAGGCCTTGCCTTCACTGCAGAAAGTACAGGGACAAGAGGCCAGGTGTCAGTGAGACAGTGGTCTGAGCTGGACAGCCAGATATGTAGCCTAAGCAGGGCCCCCAACCAGCTTCAAGAATGGCAGCCCTGTCAGGTGGGCTGTTGAAGCCCAGAACAACCCAGGCTCTGTGAGCTGTTGTCAGTGGACCAGGTCCTGGAGGACATAGAGCAGAAGATCCAGATTGCAGCAGCATGGGCCTGTGGAGTCATGGCCTGAAGTCAGGCAAGCAGCATAGGACTCTACATCCTGCCCCTCATTTCTCAAATTCAGGCTGGTGGTTCTGTAGGCAAGGACCCCCAAGAGCTTTCAACCGAGGAGAACAAGGCTTAGCCCACCTCACCCACCAGCCAGACTCTTCTCCAGCTCAAGATGGCTTGTGAGACACCCTTGTGGACTGGCCACCAAGTTCAGTTTGGAACTGAGTCAAAGCAGGAGGGGAGACTAGCCTTACTTCCAGTCCTGGTTTAGCAAACAGCTATGGTTTGGAAGATGCTCACTGCCAGGCTGTGGTCTACACACATGTGCCTGAGATTCCTGGGAGTCCTCCTTCAGGTATGCGGCCCCTAGCCGCGCACTGTGGTTCAGACACCAGTCTGGTCTAGGCTAGCCTTGAATTCTTGAAAGATGAGGCAGTGCAGGGTGGGGGCTGCCTTTCTTTCTATTCTTCTCCAAACCAGTGCACGGAGAAGCTAGACATCCTCTCCCTGGACTTACCAGGGAACCAGATCAGTGTGTGGCCACCTTGTGGGGATGTGAACAAGTCAGTTCTCAACTGTTCTAAGAGGGAAGAGGGGGATTCATGGGGAAGGAGCCCACAGCAGCTCATGAATGTCAGGCAGAACATATGGTCCTCCTACCTTACCCCAGTGTGAGGCGGGTCCTCTCTGCAGTTTCACGGGCACACAGAGAGGCAGTACCTGCTTAAAAGCAGCTCTCATCCCCACCTGCAGCTTGTGGAAAGAGTTTGCATCTGGAGTCAGCAGGCCTGTGGGGAGAAACCAGCATCTTCACAGGCAGACTCCACCCTCAGTCAGCCAGTCACCGGGTGTTCTATTACTTCTTAGGGTGGTGGCTGCACTAGGTTGCAACCACCAGGTGGCCGTCATGAGCCACTGTTGCTGGAGTCAAGCGCTAAAGCTTCCTCCTCCTCCTTCTGCCCGTGGCTTTCTAGTAGTCCTGAGGAGGATTTTGGCACCTGCTCCATGGCCACTGGTCATGGCCAGCCCAGGGATCCCGAACTGAGCTGCTCCAGGGTACCTGCCCTCACTGACTCCCCTCACTGACTGTTTCATCTTGCAGGCCCGAGTGCCTTCACAGAAGCTGTGGCTCACATCCAGGGGCAGTATGAGAGTAAGAATAAATCAGCTCACAAGGAAATCTACACCCATGTCACCTGTGCCACAGACACCAACAATATCCAGTTTGTCTTTGATGCTGTGACGGACGTCATCATCGCCAAAAATCTGCGGGGCTGTGGACTCTACTGAGCCCTGGCCTCCTGCCCAGCCTGCTGATCACTTCTCCCCTGGATCCAGGGCTCTGCTACCACTCGGATGCTCTGTGCACTGAAGAAAAACCCAGAGGCTGGCCCGGGGGAGGGAGAAGGCATCCTTTGAGCATCCCCACCCTACCCCACTCCAGCTGCATGACACATGGGAGCAGGGTTGGGCAGAAGTGTGGAGTGCCGCACACGTGGCCAGAGACCACTCATTGCATACCATCTGGGTGCCGCTCGCTGGCTGGCCAACTGTGGGCAACATTGCCATCTGGTTGCGATGGGGATGCCCTGTGCTCTGTGCCTCCTTCTCAGAGTCCTGGTGTCTCTTTCTCAGCTGGGGTGATAGGGTGGCTGGCAGGATGGCCCTGTGGCAGGTGCTGGCTGACTAGGGAATAGTAGATGCCATTTCTCAGCTTTCCTTAGGGTCTGTTTGGTAGAGGGCAGTTCCGTCGTCAAACACCAACATGGAATCAGGCCAATTTGGGGGTGCAAAGACTCGGACCTTGGGGAGGGCTTCCCTATTTCTTCACCTTGGATCTTAGTCCTTCTCTGACCATCTTCCCTTGCCCGGACTCCCCAGGAAATTCAGCCCTGACTCCCATGGACCTGGGAATATTAATTAAGACTGTCTGACTGCAAAGGTGCATTGTGGGGAAATAAGTCCTGTTCCATAGAAGTTAGGGTAGGAAGGAAAGCTGAGCGAGCGGGCAGGTCTTTCCCACGTCTGCTGGTTCTATTCACACAGGCTCAGCTGCCCTGGGTGTGCATGAATAGATAGGTTTTTCTTCAAGTCACAGCCAGAGTAGGAGAGGCCTTGGGACTGGAGACAAGCACAGGAGACGCACGAGGCAAGCCCTGAAGCCAGTGCCCAGCTTTACTCCATTAGTCAAGAAGTCAAGAAGCCCTTGGTATATTTCTGGTCTCAGGGCAGAGAGCAAGCGATGAGCCAGCAGCTTCCTCAAGTGTGAGCTTAGGAGGAGTATAAACCAACTCAGACATACTCCCTAGCCCCCTTAGGGGGGAAGAGCCCTAGGAACCCAAGGAGGGACCTTGCTGCAGAGGTTCCTAAGCACAAAAGGAGTGGGATGGTTTTTGTTACCCCCTACTAGCTTCAGCAGACTTTGAACTGTCAGAACATTCCCTGTCATTCCTAGACATGTCCACTCAGCTGCTACTATGGCCGATGGTTCAGACAGGCTGTGTGTTCATGGTGTAGGCTGGTACCTAGGGATGCAGATGTGTCTACAGGGCAGTGGGACAGGTCAACATCTAGAGGGGTCTCTGCTTTCCTTGAGTCCTGTGTTCTCCTGACTTCCACTCTGAACAATGCTCAGCCCCAAGCCAGGCAGGACCCTGGCTCTCTTTCATAGTGTTCCCCACCCCCAATCCAGCCATGCCCATAGCTCTGGGCTTGTTGGTTCCAACAAGAACAGAACTATAGGTGGTCCAGGAAGACATGGGGACCTTCCCCAGTGCCAAATGCTTGCAGGGGTGACCCTCTGGGAAAACCACTCCAGTCTGGCTACCTTGCCACTTCCCCTTCAACCAACATTGTGTGCACCTCCATTGTTTTAGGACTTTGTGCCAGATACTGGGTAGTGGCAGAGAGCAGACTCCTAGAGCCCACAGTCTCAGTGACCTGATGTGCTGGCTAAGGCCAGTTAAGTAATTGGCCCCACACTGAAGATACAGCAGTTATTTCTCAGCATCACCCACTGTGTGTGGCCACCTGTTTCCCCAGACTAGCCCCAAATTTAAGAGCACCTGCAGTCAAGGGATGTTGGCCGAGCCCCATCTTTTCAGACCATTTCCAGGGAGGTAGAAGTCACCATTCCTATAACCATTCAGCTCCCACTCCCCAAGTAACCCCTTCAAGTCACTGCAGCGCAGTAGCCAGAGCCCTCAGCTAGACCAGGGCCTGCACCCAGCCTCCCTACTTCCGTTGGACCGACTGTGTTCTGCCTCGTGTCTTGCATCCCTCTCGGCCCTCCCATCTGAGGGAGGGAGGTTTTAGGCTATCTACTATAAGCCCTCAAGAAACTGGTCCATAGATCCATAGGTCCCATCTGCCATCTGTGTCATCACCAGCAGCTCTACTATGAGGGGGCACGGGGGAGCAAATGTACATAATAGATGAGGCTTGGCTCCGTCGTGGCTTTGGGTATAGAGAAAATGTTGTAAGTGACCAGACCAAGGGATTGTCTCATATCTGTGGTGGCCATGCCAGTGGCCATCCTGCGGTTTCTAAATGGTCCAACTCAGCAGGCCAGGAGCCAGATTCCAGGAAGAGTGCCTTTACCACATTCGTGGAACCATGCCTGTTGCCTAGATGCCTGTGGGCAAGTCCTGTGCCCTGTCCCAATGATCATTCCAAGAATCTTCCCTCTAAGCATGGGTAGAGCCCCAAGTCTTTGGTCTGGATTGTGGAGGGTGCTGTTGAACTCTGGTTTGGTGAGGAAGATAAGAATCTTCCCTGTCTGAGCCACTCACCAGTAGCTCTGGCCTTCAGCCTCTCACGATCCTTTGTGTGGAGCCCCGAGGTCCTGGTCCCTGTCCTTTTGGATGCTCTTGGACCAGGCAAAAGACCTCCATCATCTCAGCCTCCCAGTCCAGGCCCACACCTCCTGTTAGGAACTGAAGGCACCTGACCTGTGTAGGCTGCACTGGATATCACTGAATGTCCTCCTCATAACCTGGCTATCCACAGGCCCTCACAGAGAAAGCTGACATTGCTTCACCCCAACCCTTGCCTTCTGCAGAAAGCACCTCTGCAAGAGATGCACCTGTGGTTCCCACACACAACATGCTACAGCCTGTGCCCTGTGGGCAGGGTTCTCTCCCTCTCCATCCAATCCAGCCTCTTGACAGGGGGGTCTGCCACACCCAGGAGAGACTCGTAAAGCCTCCAGCTCTTTGCTCCTTGCCCAGTAGGCAAGAAGAATCCTCTTCTAAGGATTCTGAAGGCACAGAGTGTCTTCTGGCTGCCGCTGCTTTTCTCTGAGCCTCCTGGTGAGCTCCAGGTGCAGCCCCAGGTCTCTCAGGGACTCCGTCCAGAGGTTCCAGCTCCTGTCACCAGAGACTCAGTCTGAACAGCTGCAGGCGAGCACCTTCCAGGCTATTGATCCTATCAAGCTACAAGCTAGAGAAAGAAAGGCACAGCATCCCAAAGGACAGGGCCAGGCATGTAAGCAGGCCTCCCCACAGCCCACGCCTCAGTAAGAAAAGCCTTGTACACACCTGCTTGGAGACTGCCCTGGGCTTACAGACACTCTGCCGTGCCAGATGATGGCCATGTCAAGTAGGAAGAAAACCAGAAGTAATGGGCTCCATCCAAAGTCCTGGGCCCACTAGTCGCAGCAGGGTACCCTGTGAAGGCCACCGACAGAAACAGTGCCCTTCCCAGCAGCAATCGGCCTACTCCTCCTCCCCTGTTCAGCTTCCTGCACCAGCCACAGATGCCTGCCGTGCTCAGACAGCATCCTTCCACTTCCTGGTCTTCTCCCCGACTTCTGACTTGACCCCTGTGGCCTATGCGTACCTTCTAGTCCCAGGCCAGAGGCTAGGCACCCCATGTTCCCCTTAGCAGAGCCTTCTTAGGTGCAGTGCCCCCTCCTGACCCATTGCCATCACCCACCCTCATTAACTGTAATTTTGTAAGAAGAGTGACTTGCTAGTTTAATAAATACCTAGTTATTGTAATAATTTATTGGCTGCCATAATGTATTTATTAGTCACCCACCACTAATAAAAAGTGCCAGCTCTTTCTAGCATGAGTGTGATGTGTTGTGTCGGTGCCAAAGAGCTTCTGCCAGATAAACCCACACGACAGGTTCTTCTATTTCCCCCGGTCTCAGGACTGGGGGCAGCCTAGCAGAGTAGGACAGGGTTCAGGCCAGTGCTCCCTCCAGGCTTGCTGTGAGGGGGAAGGTGTGTCTGTCCTGTGCTGAGCTGCTTCTCAGGCCCCTAGCACCTGGTATCTCAAGATACCTGGGACCTGGTACATGCTCTGGTGCTGGATGCTGGTCATGGTAACATGGTTTCCGGCTGTTCTCAGCTCTGCTGCCACCTGGGCAGGTAGAGGACAGGAGCGATTGAGCCTCAGGAGGACTCCCGTGGCTCTGTGCAAAGGCAGTGGCAGGTATCTGTGATCCCTGACTTCTCGTCTCAAATGGTGATGTCTGCTATGCAGATACAAGCTCTGCTCTGGGGAGATGGGTAATGGGCTCCTGATGGGTGGCTGTCAGGCTGAGCATGGAGAGGGTCTCAGTGCCGGCGCTCCCCCTTCTCACTGCCCTCCCAGAGTTCTGCCCAGGCCTGCTGCATGCAGGTCTGTGTACATCTCTGACCCCAGAACCTCTGCTAATCCGTGTTGCTCCCAGGACCTCAGACCTTGTTAATGCACGTGGTTGCCATACCACTGGCCTGTGAGTGGACTGCAGTGTGGGGGTAGGGAACGGTGGGTCAAGACTCAGAAGGCAGGGGTCCAGCAGCCGTGGTGAACTGCTCTTCAGTCATCCAAACCTAAGCTTTAGGGACGCTTGAAAGTACTTCAGCCCCATCCATAGGAATTGGTCCCTAACCGGTGACCCCTCTGAGATTTCCCTCTGTGTTCACTACCATCTAGAGACTCAGTAGCTCTTGGGACAGTGTGCAGTGCAGCTGAGAATGAGAGCTTGCTTCTGGCTGAGGTTTTGCAATGCCAGCCATAGGACATGGTGCCCTGTGGGATGAAATGCCTTTTCCTGTTGACTACTTGGAGACTCAGAGCTTCCTTTCTAGACTTACATTGGTCGCCAGTGTCCAGGTGCTAGGTCCTGAATGTAGGTTCATGTGGTGATACCTCTCCAAACACATTCCACCAAGATGGCACAGGCAAGTGAGTCCTGTGCTAAGGATGAGGAGTGGAGGGGGGGGGGATGACTTATTGGAGAGAAATAATGAAGGTCACTAGTTTTGCTTAGCAGAATCAAAGGGCAGAAATTCACTACAGATACAAGGGGGCACTGTAGTATTTTATTGTCCAGGGGACGTGGGAAGCAGCTGAGAACTGGGGCTGTGCACAGCTCCCCACATTACCTTCAGCAATAAGAACAGAGCTGGCAGGCTGGGAGAGCTGATGGAAGTCAGGGCTGGCCCCAAGGCATGGACATGACACTGATTTCCTTTTGAAAGGCCCGGATTGCCACACTAACTGGAAAAACAGCCCAAGGAAGTTATGGGTGGAGCTCGGCCCAGGGCATGTCTGCTTTGGTTTATTTTTGTTTTCTTGCAGAGCAGGGGGTGGAACCCAGAGCTGCCAGAATGCTAGGCAAGCACTCTACCACCTGAGCCATGCCTCCCAGGACTACCCTTTGCTCTTTAGGGTCACAATTATATCACCTTATTGTCCCCTAAAGGTTGATGAGGCTAAATGACTTTAGGCAGGTAGAGTGCTGAGTGGTGCTGGCACAAGGTGGGTCTCATGAACAGGAAGGCAGAATGGCCAGTAGGCCTGCAGTTAACCCAGCTCCTACTCTTTGTCCCGGGTCCATGAGCTTCCTCGGTGTCCAACAATGTCCACACTCGCTCTGTCCTCCTGTAACTTGCCAGAAATCTAGTGTGAAATGCTCAGAGTTCAGATCCAGGTGATGAGCGCCCCAAAGCTAGAACACTTTGGGACACTTTAAGAGCGGCATCTCTTCCCACACCTCTCTGCAGAGTGAGGCTCACCGATAGCAGCAAACAGGTGAATGTGCTTGGCTTCCAAAGTGAAAGTATTGACCTTTACCCAGGGCGAAAGCTATTCTCTTGAAACCTTATTCTCCTGGACTTTATCCTGGGTGCCCATCGCATCCAGCCATTTACTAAACAGATTTCTGTGTACAAGGTAGTAATTCATACCTGCCATGCTTAAGATCTTGTCCGTCTGGTTGTATAGATGGTTTAGGACCAGCAGGAGGAGGCATCCCTTGCCCCCATCCATGAAAATGGTCCTGCACACTTCTTGAGTAGACACCCTCAAGGATGCTAGTAGCAGTCACTCCATCGTCTTCCTGGCATATGCCCTCCCACTTGTTACCCTGTAAGAAAGGTCTGACTGGGACAAAGAAAAAGGATCCAGACAAAGAAATCCCAGCTCCCTGACTCCAGCCCAGTACTGTTCTCACACACATTCTAGGGAGACTATCACATGGCTGGGGATTCTGCCATTCTGATCCTGGGTCTCCTAACCTCAGCCTCATCCAGGGAGCCACAGCAGGCTCATTGGCCCAGAATGGTGGGTACTTGGCATGGTAGAATCAGATGCACTGTGATGAGTTCCCAATTGCAGGCTTTACACATTCTCATGGAGGAGCCTGGAGCCCAGGGCCTCCTGGGTGCTGAACAGCCCAGTCTCTCTTTACACCTAACTCTGTTCTTCTCTTCCCTGTCTGTGTGTGTGTCTCTCTCTGTCTTGCTCTCCCCCCCCCCCCAACCGGGGCTGCAGAACCGCATGCACGAGTCTCTCATGCTCTTCGACTCCATCTGTAACAACAAGTTTTTCATCGATACCTCCATCATTCTCTTCCTCAACAAGAAAGACCTCTTTGGAGAGAAGATTAAGAAGTCACCCTTGACCATCTGCTTCCCTGAATACCCAGGTGGGTGTTACCGTGGCCCTGGACGAGAGAAAGCCCCAGTCAGTCGTGGTTGTGGACCTGCTCCCTCCCCCCCCCCACACACACACACACACAAGACACAAACTGGAATCCCACAGCCTGTGGGCTCCAGGGACAGGCTGTGCATGCCAGCTAGAAAGCAAGGGCCAGTGCAGAAGCACTGAGGCATTACCAGCTGTGGATATGTCCCTCAGTAGGCAGTGGCCTTTCCGAAGCCACAGGTGTCATAGTGAATGATTTAGGGATCAGGACAGGACCACTGGTGTTCTTTGCTTTCTTCCCTGATGTCTCAAGACTTAAGAAAGCCTCCCAAATTCTCATGATGTTCCTGTCCTCACCCTGGCCCAGCACAGCCACCTCGGGCATAGGTGGGCTGGAGACCTGTCCTCTGCCACCAGCCTGCTTTGAACATGCCACACCTTTCCCGTCATGCCAGCTCCCCAACCTTCGCCCAACCACGTGATGGCTGCTTTCTTCCCCCAGACCAAACCACTCCTGTATTGCAGGCTTCCTCCATACCTTCTGCTTCTCTTCTGCCCTTTTGGGATCTTTTCCCCCACTTTGTGTAGTTCTCATGTAAATGGATTACAGACAGCCCCCTGCCTCATGCCAACAAAGCTCTTTCTAAACGGGTACAGGAGGGAAAGGCTAAAGGCAGGGTTGATTCAATGCCCATCCCAGCCCTCTAGAGACTAGACAGTTTTCAGGTCTTCTTGGGGCAGAATTGAGGACAAGACCAACACTTTGCAAAGGCAGAGATGTCCCCTGTCCTTCAGGTCTAGGCACATGTTGCATGGACCTAGAACTCACGGATATGGCCCTGGAGTTGGCCTATAGTACTGGATTCAGGTCCTAGGGCCACGAAGGTCTTTAAAACCAGCCAAAGAGACCCTAAACTATAGCACAGGTGGACGACAATCCCTCTAAGCTTCCCCACTACCAAAAATAGCTGTGTGAAGGAGACGACCTTCCGGCTTATACTGAATGCACTGTGATGCTGGGCAAATTGCAAGGTCCAGAGGGAGTCAGTTACTTAGTCTGTGGCATCCCATTTTTATCTGGGTGTCATAGCAGACCATGATGGTACTTCAGGTTGGCTAGAGGGAGAGAGACTGGTGTTTGGTGCTGTCACAGTACTGGGAGAGTGAAGTCTAAGGGAACCAAGAAGTGCCTTCTGTAGACACAGCAAATGCCAAAGCCCACCAAAAGCCCAGGAGGCTGTGCCTGTAGGTATAGTTCTCTGATTCCTCAGCGTCTGCAAGAATTTTCCAAATCCCAGGGCTTTTTATAAAACCGTGGCTATGTAAGGAGGTGACTGTCTTAGGTACTGTCTTTAGGCTCATCAGGAATGTGGCCTGAGTGGTCAGTCTCTCTGTTATGGAGTAGCTGCTGGCTGTCCCCAGTTCTCCAGGGCCTGCACAGGATATGTATGGTTTGAGTTCAAACAGCATGGAGGACAATGAATAGTCACAAATGTCATGCCACCATGGGTTATGAGGACACTGAACAAGTAGGAGGAGGAGGGTTAAGAGGTGGCCGCCCGAGAGACTAGGTGGGCCAGTGTGTTCCGGGTAGCAGTGGGACTGTGTGGAAACACTCAGTTCAGCAGAAGTGGCACAGTGAGGCAGCCCCTCATCTGGAACTTTCCAGCCAGGAAGCCCCTTGACAGGGAAGCCTGTGCCTCTCTCCGGTCTCTGAAGGCTTTCCAGTCGCTCTGCACTGGATGAATGACCTTCTGCTCTCAGTAGCTCTGTGATGATGGGTGGACAAGGCTAACCCTGACCCCACCTGAGGGATGCCCCACCCCTCAGCCTTCACACTGGCACACACTAGTCTGGAACTATCTTTTATTTCAGACGGAGAGTCCTTGGCAGTCAGTGCCTCCTGTGGCCCACACCCCTGGCCAATGAGCTTGTGCCCACACTCTCCCAGAATGCCATTGCATTGTTCCTGTATTGGGCCACATCCTAACAGACTGAAGGAAATGAAGCATCTGTGTTCTGGGCTTTTCCATACTTTCGTCATGGTCCATATTATATGGTATTCAATAAAAGGTGGCTAGGGGCATACCTGCTCATTCTTAGACTGTAGCTGGTTGGAAAACTCCTTGTATCACCCACAAATGTGCC